CCTCCTTGGACCCCTTCCAAGAGCTCCACGTCCTTCCTGTGCTAGGGGCCCCAGGCCTGAACGCAGTACTGCAGATGGGGCCTCACAAGAGCCTAGTGGAGAGGGACAATCACCTCCCTCTCCCTGCTGGCCATCCCTTTTTTAATGCAGCCCAGAACACAGTTGGCCTTTCTAGCTGCAAGCGCACACAAGGAGACCCACCAGGACTCCCACATCCTCCTCTGCAAAGTTCCCCTCCAGCAGGTCGGTCACCAGCCAGTACTGATGGTTTTCCTATTGCTCAGGGAGGTGGAGTTTGGGCAACCTAGTGCATCCAGATCCTAACTGTGTTATCTGAGAGTTGTGCTTTGCTAGTCAGGCATCCTCCATCACAGCTGAAACCGCAGAGTGGCCAAATGCCTCAGACTACGGGACGAAGACCCTCCTGTCCTTACTGGCATTTCTCTGAACTTGCTAAATGGGAAGGCCCCTTTCTTCCCGACATCAGAGCAGCCTCCTCAGAAAACCTGTCATTGGGGATAGGAATAAATTGCAGCTCTGGGCAATGCCTCAATACAAGCTGCAGAACGTTATCCAGCTATTTGACAGAGAAGTACTTCCCCCCTCACCCGCTAATCTCTCTCAATGATTTCCTGAGATGAAGATTATAAACTGCCCATGGGAGCAGCCCCAGTTGTGTACTACTCCAAGAGAGCCCTAGTCCCTCCCGAGGACACTTGCAGCATTCCTGCTCCCTATTGCTCTCCTGTTATGGACTGTCATGACAATTTGGCAGGCAGCATTTGTGTTTGTTCTTGAGTGATGTGATTAAGTAAAAAAGCAGATGTCTTTAAAATTTAGAGTCTGCCTACAAAATGTTAATAAACTGTTTACTGCAAGAAGGCTTTTTGTGCCTTTCCATAGCTTTTTCTTTTTAACTTTTTCTTTTTAACTTTTTTTTTTTTTTTTTTAATCACTATTTCCCAGACTTGGATTGGTTCTCTGGGACTAATCACAGTATTTCTATAATATTTTACCCCAAAGCTATGGTTTCAAACTCAATGCCAGGTTAATACAGATTTTAGGAGGGTGATAGAGTGCTTTCCAGCTGTCTGAATGGAGTGCAGGAGAAGCTCCAAACTTAGATATTTGTGGAAATAACATGTGGAAATTGTCCACTGTGCCGCTGGGACAGCTGTCCTGCTGGAGCCTATGGAGTCACAGATATGTTATATACAATGAAAAAATGAAATGGAGATTGAGCTAGTAGCTGACTCAATTTTAGAATTAATATTTGCACAGGAGAAATGAGGTTCTGATTATGGCATTTTAGGATGGAGAAAGCGGTCTAAGAAACTAAATCAAAGAGGGTTTGAGGGAGGGCAATGGATCAAAACAACAGCAATTCTCTTCTTTCCCCATCTCCCTTTCTGCCCTCATTGAGCCTATTCAAAGTCGCCTCTAGCAAGTATTTTTTAAAAGGATAGTCATGTTTAGTAGGACAGTCTTCTTCTAAACTAATGCCAGTGCATTGGTAATAGCAGCTAGAAAACAAGCAAAATGCTGAAAAATCTGTTCTTTGTTTTCTGTGGGAAGAGATTAAGATCTGATGGTAGGGAGTTTTCTTAAGCTGCAGCAACTAAATACATTTATTGAAGATTATTTTAAAGCCATATATATATATTCCAGTTCTGTGAATAGTCATATTCCATGCTTAAGACTAAATAATTTGTGTAGAAATTAATGGGATTTGGATTACATTCCTCAAATTAAGGATTGTGTGATGCATGATTTGAAATAGTTTGAGAAAAACCTCTATTTCATTGTAATGAAGGGACCGAAAGTTTAATGGCAGGATGTCGGCTGGGTGTGACTCAGTTCTGTAGGACTCTCAGTCGTCTCAGTCCAGCAAACTACTTAAATGCATGCTGAAATTAAAGCATATAAGTGTTGCCCTTCACTCCAAGGGTCTTCAAGTTCTGCCTACCTACAGACACTGCTGTGAAGGAATATGGTCACCTACAGCCTAGAAGTATGTGAAAATCTGCCTTGGCTCACAAGAGGACCAAGGAGCTCACAGTCAGGCACGGGATCTAAACTGCGAACTCTTCTACAACAGGAGAAACACTTCCCACTTTCAAGAGTATAGATTATTTTGTTTTATTTTGGGGTTATTGGGGTTTTTACCTTCTTCCTTCAGAGGAAGTAGGCTCTTCTAAAAATGCCTTCTAACAAAACAACTATAAATCAGCTGCCTGTGACCGTTCTGCAGCTCAGTTCATGTTCTTGAGCAGGGGTTTGGGCCAAATGATCTCCAGAGGTTCCTTTCAACCTCAACCATTCTGTGATTCTGGGAATATGGGAGGGAATATGGAAAAGAATGGCGCACAGAGCCAATCCACATCATTTGAGATGCAAGGTTGTGACATACTCCAGTAGCGTTCCTTCTTTATCTAGGCATGTGGTAGTAGGTGCATTGTATACCTGCTCAGACATGTTCCTGTCATGGAGATTAGGGCTAGAAAATATTCTAGTCACCAGCAACTGACCCCATGTGAATTAAAAACTGTATTTATTAGGAAATCAGATGAAAGGTAGCTTTATGCAAGCCAGTTACAGTCACTGGTTGTGAAAGGAAACCACAGCTTAGATGAAAGGAAGCCCTTAGCCTAAAGTAAAACAGCACTGTGCTTGGTCACATCCCTGGCACGACAGAGGACGGCTTTCTACCCACAAACGATGATATTGTCTTCAGATAATTGCTTGCTTATCAGACAAATCACTGCATTTCTCATTAAGAAATAGGCATATTCTTCTTAGGGACACCGTGGTGCCAGTCCATGGTGTGTGGGAGGGGACAGAGCCCCGCCATGCCGCCGGCAAAGCTGGGCTGCTCCGACAAGACGCCAGCTCTGTGCTGCCCAACAGTTTCCTTTTGTTTGCCTCGATGGCAGTTTCATACAGGGCTGCAAATGTTCCATAGCCTTGGTGCCTCTGTTTTGTTGGTGCTGTGGCACCGGGGGCTGCGAGTTTTGGTGCTGCCACTTCTCTCTCTGTACCCTGCAATGGCCTTGTTTGAGATGGCTCAAGGTCATTTGGACAAAGAACTTTTGTGTCCCCACACTGTGTGGTTTGTGTGCACAAGTTAGAACTGGAGGTTTGAAGCTCTATGGAGTCCTGCAGCCATGTCTGAAAAGTGCAAAAGCACATCCTTGGATATTTTGGGAAGCTCTGCTGTTGACCCTTATGTACATGCACGTACATAAGTGAGGAGCATTGGGACCATTGCTAATATCAAACTGCTAACAAAACACTTCTGCACCCTGAGTATTTCTGTTGTGTATGGCTCCTTTCCAGAATAAAGTTACAAATCAGAGACAAAAACCCCATGCACTAAAACCTCCCCCAAAGTGGGAAACGGAGGAGCTCATGCTGAGCAGTGGAGGGAGATGGCCCCAAGGGTAGCAACATGCCGAGCACAGGCACCTCTCACTCTCATTTCACCCAGCTGCTCACAGTGAACTTCCAATAAATAGGTGCCAAAGTATATACAAAGATCAAAATTACCAGACATTCAATGAGAAAATGATTTTATAAAGATCTGGCTGGTCAGGCTGGGCTTTATGTATGTGCTGAATTTTTACCTTTAATGTACCGGGGTTCAGATTGCCATCATCGTTTTGTAGAAAGCTGTTTGAAAGTAATAGTGAATATATTAAAAGTGAATGTATTTTGGGATTTTGACATGTCCTCAGTTAATTCAAGAGCACAGGCAAAATTAACCCATCCAATTACTAATTGCAAATTCACACAGATGCAGTTGGATTGATCAGAGACTTTCTTTTTAAATAAATAACTAACTAAATGTAGATTACCTATTTTCACTCTTTTAAAATTCCTTGAGAAGGATCCAGGGAACTACTGCAGGTGGCTGTCTATTTCTCCAGAATGTTTTTGGTACATTTTGTGGTCTCTCCTCTATGCCATGTACAACATATAAGTGAGTACTGCAGTAGCCAACAGCTTATGAGATTAATTTGCCTGGAGGTAGGCTTTACATTTATTGATATGACCTCTTACTCTGAGCGCTGATTAGGAATCTAGTACAAATTATTACATGCTGAAGCTCACATGCAGTAACTCAATCATGGATAAAATATAATGAATTTATTTGGATCAACCTAACACCACTGATTAAAATTGAATTAGTCCTGGTTTACACCAGCTTGAACTAAGTCACTAATGCTCATCTCCATTCAAGGAAGTTCTACAAAAGATGCCTAATCAGTGTGACTACTGGAGGGAAGGCTCTTTCTCTTATTAGTTCAAACTGTCTATCATGAATGGTATGCTAATTCTTCTTTGTGCTGTAAGTGAACCGTCAGCATTTCCAGCCCTCGCACTAACTTACAGCACTGGTTATACTGGAGATCAGCATTTGGGTTTGACTTTTAGATTTAGAGTTTGTATGGAGCACGTGGTCTAATGTCTTTAATAGTTATAAAGTAATGAGTAATCTAAGTCTTGATTTTTCAGTAAAGTTTTTATCCTTTCAGAGAGGACTGTATATGTGTATTATCTCATCTTCAATGTCCAATTTAAAGAAGGTTTCTCAGTCTGAGTCTGTAAGTGGAAGACAGGATATCATCCACATAAACCTAAAAAAAACTTTCTAAGCCTTAAATCAAAAGAAGAATTTAATTTTTTTTTATATTTTTCAGAAAAGTAACTAAAACCTCTCCAGACATACTTTATGCTGTTGACAGGCGCTGCATATAGAACACCAGGAAGTCTGGTTTTAATTCATGTAATATTCCTAGGGAGGTGGGTGGCTTAGTTAATAAACTTGATCTTTCACCTTTGGAATCAGATTGAGAACCCCTGTTGAAACATGCCTGTCTTTAATTTGGGTGCTTGTTTACTTACAAAGGTTACCTGCTGACCTGTGAGAATCAGGAGTTGAGGTCTCACGTACGTCACCACACCCAAGGCAGGCTGTGGAGGGAGGAGCACAGAATCTGTGACTTCAGAAAGCCAGAGGGCTGCAGGCATGGGGCAGAGGGGAGGGGAGCCACCGCTTCCTCCAGTTGTCACAGCAGGGAGACAACCTTGAAGGGCCGCACTGGAGATACTTGCGCAAGGAAGAATTCAGTGTTCATGGATATGCCCCTTGCAGGACCGAGGCCATCAGAAGGAGGTATTTTTGAAAGCAGCTGACCCCTATTGCTAACTCAAACCCCAGGTTCAGTTCCACTGAAAGCAGGGAACAAACCCTGAACACGGTCTGTGGCTCTAGCGAAAGAAAGACCAGCGCGTACCCCTGCCCTAGCTGGCAGCACACCAGGGCACTAGTGCATTGTCAGAGGCTACAGAAGTCCCTCAGGCCCTCTAGTAGGAGACTTTGCTGTTACTTTATAAGCTATGGAAAAGATTACAACATTTATGACTTGTAATACAATACAGATTCTGAATCATTGAGTGACAGTCACCTTTAAAACTAGATGAGACCCTCAACTACCGACAAGTCTCTACTCACTGGCTCTCTGTGTTTTGCCTGAAACAGCAAGAAGAGCTTGCCTGCCTACTTCTGATTTTGAAACCCTAAATCTGACCCTATCCCCATGCTGAAATATACTTGGGTGGCAGCTCAAATAGCAAGAGACCCTCTGCCCAGTTTGCTACAGTCTCCTTTTAGAGTCTCCCCTCTAGCTAGTCACTGCAAGATGCTGCATTAATGATGTTCTGAAATACTTTAGGCTCTGGATTCATGAACAGCTTTAGCCATAGCCTCAAATGTACCCAGGGGACTGGCCATTTCTGTAAATCATGACGTGAAGGAGAGTGCCCCACTGAAGCCTGCTCTCTTGCTGCCTTCCAGACCAAGGCAGGTTGTAACAGGAATAACCTGCCTAGCTACTTTTGACTCTCTGACTTAACTGATCTCAGGAATGGGATGGCCCCATGAGCTACATATCACTTTAGGGGTAGATTTGTCATTGCAGGAGTTAATGCATTAAAGACATTTTTATTGAGGCACCTTGTAAAGCTTAGGCAATAAACTATGGAAGCTGAAGGCTATTGTGTCCTACTATATCATCTCATTTTGCAATACCTTTCAGGTTAGAGAAAATTAGGCAGCCAAACAAGTTATACTGGCTGTATCTGCACAGAGCAGAAAGATGGGGAGAGGATTCATAGTGAGGTGAACCAGGGCTTTTAATGTATCTGATGATCTCCTGGGAAGTTATGATGTTAAGGATGGGATTACAATTACGATATGAGGACATAAAGTATCTAGACAGTGTTTTTATGCGGGGCACAGAGAGTGAGGGACATTTGCTTGTGGTCTTAAGGCTGAGGCTCTCTTGGAGTATATTTACAACAGTCGGCGTGATGGTTAGAGCAAGGGAGAAAACCCAAGGCAGATACAGGGGCTGTCCTTCCTGCATCCTGCAAAGGCAGGGAAGAACAGAAACAAGCAGACTAAAGTAAGGTAGGATATGGTCCTATCTACATAACTGCCTTGGCTGTGGGTTGCAGAACCCAACACGTTTAAAGACATTTTTGTTAAGTTCTGAAGCCACAAGGCTTTGGGAAAGAAGGCTTCTGCTATGGGGTCTGAAGTCATCACATCATTGTGTAGAACCCAGCATCTTTCATCCTCCAAGGAAAGATCTCATCACAATTGAAGGAGGATGACAAGTTAATATCAGGTCTATGTTTTGGGTTGGAGAAGTGAATCAAATTTTTCTTACTGCATTCTGCAGAGCTAGGAGAGTTTCTTTTGGGGAGGCTCCACATCTGTGGGACCAGATCCTTTTATTATGACTTTAGGTATGCATGGCTTTTTGGTTATTATTGATTTTGACTGTGAGAAGCAAATGTCTTCCCTGTGTGGTGATGCTTTGCCCAGGCAGAGGAAGAAAACCTTGTGATGGATTGGAGTTTGTCCCTTGTATCTTTGCATATATGCAGAGGCCTCATACATCCCCAGCTGGGACTTCTGGGTAGGGGCAGGGATGAGGAGCTGGAAGCAGCCAGACAAGTTTTTCTTGCCAAGAGTGCAGAGATCAGAAATGCTAGGTGAGCCCTGTGATGATTTCAGGGGCGGTGAAACAGGATGGAAAAAACTCTAGTCCTTATATTGTTATTTTCTATATAGGGTAGCCAACCTTTTGTTATCTATATCCTGTCCCTATCTTCCAGGAATTAAGAAGGCACAGCAAGAACAGCCTTTCTTCCTTCCGTAGTTTCTCAAAATCCTTAAAAAAACATTGGTGTAAGGCATTTGGTTCTGAAAATAACAATGTATGCTCAAGATGAGAGGTCTTCTGGAGGCCAGAACTGTACCTGAAGTCACATACAGGTTCTTGGACTTCACATACAACATTCCTCTCTGTAACACTCCTTCACCTGAAGAATGCAAATAAATAAATAAATAAATAAATAAATAAATAAATAAACTTCAAACCACCTGTCTGGCAGTTTTGCCTCTGTAACCCTAACCTGGAGTGCACTCACACTCAGTTCAGAAAAGTCTAAGCCCTTCAACTTTACTCATGGTGCTCCCTTCATGTCTATATGACATCTTTAGCTACATTAAAGTTACATAAAGCACAGATGTTTCCTTTTACTGTAGGTCATTGTGCAGACAAACACACTCCTGTCCCTAGCATATTAACAAAAATCTGTGGTTTAAGGGATTGTCACAGGTCTAAGAGAGACTTTTGACTCTGTTAGTTTCTCCAAAGGCAAGTCTAATATTAAAATGAGATTTTTCTCACTGGACAAATTGGCATCTTAAAATGTAGTGTATAACTTCAAGTTTACAGAGCCCCAAATGTCAGTCCTATGCCTAACTTTCTGGACTCTTCATCATGTTGAAAAAAATAACCTACCTATTTCCCAAAGTTTTCTAGCCATAGCTCCAACACACTACCCTGAGGTAAGTATAATTATTGCAGTAACTTCATCCCACTTATGTGTGGCTGTGTCCTGCAGGATGCAGCAAGACCAACTTGTCTGCTGGCTTTAGGTCCTCCAACACCAAGCATAACCTGAACCTTCATCTCTAAGTCATAAGGAAAGAAAATAAGTGGCTCATACAACAAAGACCATGTAAGAGGCCCAGAGATCCTTTGGGGGTACCTTATGAGGCCAGACACCACTTTAAATTCTCATCAAAGACCATGAACAAAACTGAACTCTCACTGTAACTTTCTAGACTTTTCTGGCTATAACAGGAATGATCTATCTATATCCTGTCCTTTAGCATAGGGCAGGAGGTAATGGCTTTAAGTTGCACCAGAGGAGGCTCGGGTTGGATATTGGGAAAAACTTGCTCTCAGAAAATGGTGGTGCACTGGCATGGGCTGCCCAGGGAGGTGGTAGAGTTACTGTGTCTGGAGGTGCTCAAGAACTGTGTGGATGTGGCACTGAGGGGCGTGAGTTAGTGAGCACAGGGGGTCGATGGTTGGACATGATGATCTTAGTGGTCGTTTCCAACAGTAATGATTCTGTGATTTTATGATATTTTTAGTTTCTATAAGTCTAATCCTAATTGTGACACTGAGTTGGAAAGTGACAGTCTTTAACTGAAAAGCAACATAAGGCCTTAGATTTCACACTTGAGCTACATTCTGGGTCCTTGAATAATTATTTTAATAACAAGCATGGTTTCTAAAGACTCTTAAATCATTAAAACACTCTCGACTGAGAAGTTGTCTACCCTGCACTCTGGAACCATTGCACCAGCAGGTACCTATTCTCTGGTATTTAATACCACTCTTGGTTTGTGCCAGAAAAATAAGTTGGGAGGCTCCATGGGGCAGAAAATATTTGGGTTCACTTCTATGTTGTGCATGTTTTTACTTCAATGTAATTCAGCACTGCCATAAAGGTAAGAAGATAGACATCACTGCTTTAGCATTGCTGGTACCTCCAGGAATCGGAAGTTAATTGTTTATGTTACTTTTTTGATTGTCAAATCCTGTTATGCTGTAGAGAAACATTGCTGCATCTCTGTCTTCTAGTCATTGGTTTTATCATAGTAGGGAAGAAAACTGGCCAAGCTGAAGCAAAAAGAATTCCTTATCTCCCGCAGACAGTCTCTGCTGGGAGGCGCAGCTTTCAATGGTCTCTACTGTAGCAGTTTTTTCTCCTTATTGGTATCACCTGGGTTCAATTAAACTGACCTAGTTTGTCTGGAGGACTCGATTAAAAACTCTCAGCCACTTTCGACTTGTATTACCATGGTTGTGAATGGGGAGGTAATGTGGAGTTCTGTGCCACTAGTTCCAGTGTTGTTGCTAAAATGAGACTTTTATGAACATTATTCAGTGTCTAAGGAGATGGATAGTCTGAGATTTAAGTTATGTTAGTCATGGGTGCTATTCAGTATGGATATTTTTCACATAAATGTAAGTAATGAGGTCAGAATTTGGTGACAAAGCCATACTTTGCAGTACCAACAACAGAAAACAGAAGTGGAAACCAATTAGAAGTTAGAAACAGCTTTTTCTGGTGTAGATCTACATAAAGACTCCAGAAGCACCCCAGACCTGTATCTTCAGCTGAACTGTCTGAAACTGTCCTGATTTCAGTGGGGTAGTGTTCATTTTCTTCATAGTGGCTGGTATGGTGCTGTGTTTTGGATTCAAGAGAAAATAGAAGTGCTGATAACACTCTGTTTTAATTGTTGTTGATGTGTACTTAGGCTATGTCAAGGACTTCTCAGCTTTTCATGCTGCCCTGCCAGCAAGGAAGCCGGAGTGCATGAGGAGTTGTGGGGGGGGGGACAGAATTAGGACAGCTGACCCCAAATGGCCAAACACATGTCCCATGCAATGTGGTGTCATGTTGAATGATAGAACTGGGTAGGGTTGGCCGGGGTGGCTCCTGCTGCTTGGGGACTCAGGATGAGTTCTGTGTATCATTTGTTTTGTACATTCTATTATTATTATTTTGTTATTATAATTATCCCTTCCTTTTTTGTCCTATTAAACTGTTTGAACTCCCAAGTTTTGCAACCTTTTTTTTTTTCTGCCATCTCACTGATGGAGGGGAGTGAGTAAATGGCTGTGTGGTGCTTAGCTGCTTGCTGGGTTAAACCACAGCATGAAGTCATCCTTTCCTTTCTAGTCACCTAGAAGCAGAGCAATTCCCACGTATTCCATACCATTTGTCCTGGAGTAGATGGAATTTTAGGTGGTTGACTCTATTTCTCAGTATGGCGGATGCATAGGTGCCATACCACTGATATCTAGAAGCTATAACAGGGAAATGGGCCTCAATCTTCATTTTTCTAATGGACACCTTTCCTTCTAGCCAACAAAGCTGGGAATGGACTGCCTTTAACTCTGACTTGGTAGGCCTATGACAGAGTTAGGACTAACCAGAGATGAGGAGTAACCAGTGCTAATGCTGTCTCTACTATTCCTTGGTGCCATTTAGCCTTTGCAGCACCTCACTGGTGACACAAGTGGGTTTGGGGCCATGGCTGGGGAGAGCTGAGTTATAGCTTAAAGACAAGCCTGTATGCAAACACTAATCTGTCTCATGATCTGACAAGGACAGCCTTGGGAAGCCATTCTGCATGTGGTCATCCTGCCCAGGTGCTAAACAATGTCTGTGCTGCTTCGGTATTGCCAGGACTGGTTGGACATCGAACTGGTAAGCACCTATTCATTGCTTCACCCACATACACCTGGCACAGAGCACAGCCCACACGCATGCACATAGTTGTCTTTGTTCTGTACATATATAATGTTCTTGTTTTCAGAAGACAATTTCCTAACCAGAAAATAATGTCTGGAAGCAGACAGTCTGAGCAGCCGTTGATGAACAAATGCTTGTTGTTAGCTTCAGCAACAACCTTCTGTTGGTGTAAGAGCCACTAGAACTGAATGATGATGGGATTTACCTGTATAGTATTTTGTTGTATAGAAAAATCCAGAGTTGTCTGAGCCTTAAAATCCAGTGTTGTATGTAGGTTTTATCTGCACAATTGAGTTTCTTTTCTTGATATATTTGGAAAAAAGTCAGATGCATGCAAGCTTTAAGGTGCCTCTGAAGCATCAGTTAGGGCTTAATTGGATCACAAGCATCATAAATGTTTTGTAGGGTTGGTTCTTCCTGTTTTGGCTTTGTTTTTAAATTAATCTTTTAGTTTATTTTCTTCAGATTTAAAGATGAACATTACTTTCTGAATGGGACACAGCCATGTAACTGCAGCACCAGTGAGAAAAACTGCCATCCTGCCAGGCAACTCTGGCAGCTGAGACTCCTCTTTTTTGGACACAGGACAAGCTTGGTAGATACAAAACAGTTTAGCTGAGAAAAAAATGTGGCAATCACTGGGTAAATCACTCGGTATAGGGAAGAAGGGAGGTTACTCTGTGTGCATGGTGCATGTTATTTGCTTCATTTGCTAACGTAGTGTCTTGATCAGAAGAAGCCCATTGTGGTTGTGCTAACGTTTTGGACAGTTGTACAGATCAGGTCTGTGTGTTCACTGACCCTGGGCTGGCACTGATGGGAGGAACTACAATGAGGTATTTCTGGTGCCAGCTGCTGAAGAACAATGCCTTTCAGAGTCCCAAGACTACACCTCCTCTCCTGCCATGTGCTGATATTAAGCAGCTCTGTGCCATACAGAACAGAGAGGTGGCACAGCCAAGCCTACAGATGTTTCAGCTATGTGAGGAAGAGTGCCTAGATGCAGTCAGTGGAGAGTTTCTCCTAGTTGAGCAGAGAAAGGAGCATGCTCCAAATAAGTATGAGCTGCCCAGCAGGCTGGTCTTCATTCCCATGGTGCAAGATGTAGCTCCGAAGGGTTAAAGCACCTTTATTCCCCCTCTCTGGACACACACACACGGGCTTTTGCTGGGGGCACCAGATAAAAAGATCACATGCTCATTGTTCTAAATGAGCAGAGTTTCTCTGTAATTCCCTAATTCAAAGCAGGCTTTGCTCACTATTGTGCTCTCCTTACAAGCCACGATGATGATAGGATTTCCAAAATCAAAGCTGAATGCTGAACTGAATTAAGAGAGAAAAAGCCACACTGCTGGTTTGGATGAGTGGGGGATAATTGTGGAGAATCCTCCCAGCAAGAATGGCAGCGGCAGCAGGGGAATGGTTTTCTTCTATCAAACTGGGTTTATTTTTATTGTGAAATAAACATGTTCTGGGCATGGGATGGCAGTTCCTCCCTCTGCCCCTCCAGGGTTGAGGTGGCACCAACCGCACATCAGAGGGGAAGGCAAAGCTTCCCTGTTTAGACTGAAACATACATCAAACAAAGCAAGCATCAGTAAGGCAGCTACGGTGTGTGCTCCTCTAACGCTCACTCTGTTTCTCCCAACACTGTATCTGCTGTAACACACTGAGCTTTAAACATAGAATCAGCATTGTTTGAGTTGGAAAGAACCCTTAAAGGTTCTTCGTCTGGCTCAACCCCCCAGCAATGAACAGGGACACCTACACTGGATCAGGTGCTCAGAGCCACGTCCAGCCTGACCTTGAGTGTCTCCAGGGACAGGACATCCACCACCCCTCTGGGCACCCTGTGCCAGTGCCTCACCAGCTTCATTGGAAAATTTCACTTTGACCACTAAACTGCTCTTTGCTCTTTTCCACAGTGTGGGCATTAGGCTCATTCTGCGCTCTTTCACTTTCCTGTTTGCAGGAAAACACATTATGTGGGACTGGTTAAAACTTACAGTGACTCCAAGTGCAGTATTACAAGAAGTTAATTAAACGGATTAATAAATTTATAAAAATAAAACAGAACTGATTACTAGCTAAGGTTACTCACCCTGGCAGAGCATAACAAAAAGTATAATTCAATAAACCATCTGAAAAATAATGTGAAATTGAGCCTAGAGGAACAATTATTATTATCTTTTGGGCTGATCTAAATGTAAGCTGCACGGTGCTGCACATGGACAGGGTGATTCTAAACCTGGATTTCTTAGCTCCTTAAGGTTATTCCTCCTAAATATCTTCAGCCAACGCCAAAGCCGATGCACTGGTGCCAGCAGGTATGTTTAAAAAACAAAGCTTTCTGTGAAGTTTCAGCTGCTCTCTTAACAGCAAGAAAGTAAAACAGCTTTGATGGCACTTCAGGGTGACCGGTTTGCTAATGCTGCCTAAGTAGCAGTTGCCACTTCACTGTTACTGTGCTCATGTTAATTAACTCCATCAATTAAAGAAAACAGAAATTCAGTAAGAGGAAAGAAAAAGTTCTTAAGTTGTTAAATGCTATAAATCTGTGAAATACAGCAGAGAAATATGGTTTTAATACTTGATTTAGCATTTAATAGTTTTTCATTAAGCTCTGAGCACTGAAATGAATCTTCTGTGACCTACTTAGCAGGGTACATCTACTTTAAATGCTATTGAAGATAAATAAGGGATGAGAAATGCTGTTTGCATTTGCCAGTATTAAAATGATGTGGCCTGTAAAAGTCACTGGAAATTTAGACTCATCCTCTCTTCCACTCCCAAACCTGTGACCTCTGGTGCCATAGCCCAGCAGTCAACCAGAGGTGGTCTCACTGTCTCATCTGCTCAGTTTGTCCTGCCACGACAGCCACTGCTCTCTGCACGGGGTGAGTGCTGGACATCCATCTTGGACGGGCACTGTTCATGTGCAGGATAGATGGACAGATGGACAGATGGATGGGCAAATGATGCAAAGCAGCCCCCTGGACCAGCACCCATCAGGGTGCAGCTGTGGGCCAGACATGGCTTACAGCTCCCCAGTAGGTCAGTTCTTCAATTGTCCATGCAACATAATTGCTGGAAATAGGTTACAGCATCATCGATTGATTAAATTTGGAAAAGACCACTAAGCTCATCTAGTCCAAGTTTCCACCCCTACTAACCATGCCTACTAACCATGTGGCCCAGTGCCACATCCACACAGTTCTTGAACTCCTCCGGGGACGGTGACTCCACCACCTACTTGGGTAGCCTGATGGGACTCCAACATAACTGCCTGCTTCTTGCACCGTTTGGCTTTGTTTTCATGAAGGTTGCATGGGATAAACATTTCAGTCCAGAAAGATTTTAAGCAACAGCCCCAGTGAAATTGGCTTATTTCACTGATATGAAAAAAATATGTTAAAAACAACACTTGGATCGCACATACTAAACAGCCATGGGTGGAATTCTCTTCCAGTAAGCTTTTCCAGTGTTCTCCATAGCAAAAGACATCCATTTGCTGTCACATTCTTCAAATTCCCATGTTTACTTCCTTTGTATATTAGTGGGTTTTTTAACCAAAAGCATTTCTGGTTTAGGCAGTAAGATTAAGTGCTATTTTTGCTCTCTATGCATTATCTAAATGCAGCTCTCTGACAAAAGCTGAAATTGGCATCAGCTTACTTTTCCTGCACTGCACTTGGTTTTGATTGTTAGAGAAGACCTATAAAGCAGAAAAGGAGTGGGATTTTTTTTGTTTTATTTTGCTCATCTGTGGAGTGTAAAAATGTTTTGTTTGCACTAGAAGTTTGAGCTTAATCCATCTTCAAAAATGCTGTAGGTTGATGTAGGAATGAGAAAATTAAATACTGCAGTCTGAGAAAATAGGAAATTATTTGTATTCTCGTGTTTGCAGATGCAAATCCTGGTGTGTGGGACAGGTGTTCCTTAAAATCCAGAATCAAGGAGATCGTTTGCCTCCCATGTGGTCCTTTATTTCCTATATTGGCATTTGATTCAGCTATGTTCACAGGCCTGTTTCTTCTATTTTCTACCAGCAATAGCATGCAAACTGTGAAAACGTTTCTATGGATAGTCCAAATTTAGCCCAAGTTTTTAGCACCTATTTTACTGCCATTGTTTGATGTAACCAGGTAGAAACTGTTGTAAAGAAGGTAGTTCAGAGTGCATCAGGCTAACTGATGTTATTAATGCATTATATTTAAATAAAAGATCAGCAAAACTTTCACCCTTCTGTACATGTACATACATGTCTTGTAAAGCTAACTATTTACATATGTTCCTTAGACCTACAGCAATTCACAAGATTAGAATACTTAAATAAAAACCCCAATTTGGAAAAGAAAAAAAAAACAAACTTGTGATGTAAAACATGTATGGAATATGAGAGTTACACTGATTTTGAGTGATAGTTTTTTTGTCACTGTGCACATTTACATCCACATTGCAGCTTGTGAGAGCATTTGAGATACAAGCCAGCAGCCCTCAGGAAACACAGTCTGACAGAACTGGTGGGGACACAGAACTGGTGTTCCCAGGCAACCACAGCAATGGTCTGATGAGACATCCTATGTGCACAGGCTGCAAGTTTTTTCCTCCTACAGGGAGGAAAATGCAAATGCACACATGCACAGGGTTTCCCAAATCATGTTGTGAACACCAAAAAGGTGATGAGGACAAACTTTGTTACTCTTCTTTATTGGCAGGTTCTTAGGTTGAAATAAAAGCAAAGAAGCCCTTGTTTGTGAGCAGTACCTCATGCTCTCCCTATCCTTAGGTACCTTTGCCATGTGTTGAGTCCATCTGCAGCTTCCTCATCTTCAAAGGGACCCCAGGGTCCCATAGACCTTCCTTTCCACTACTGGCCTGGTCTCAGTGTCCTGGACTTGCAACCCTGTCCTGGAGGGTGGCACAGATCCCATCCCGATTCTGCCTTAGAATCCATCTTTTTGTGAGCTGGATCTGCCCTGCTGCACACAATACTGAATGGCACTGGTACAAATACTAATAGAGCAGAGATCACAAGAGAGCCAGATTTTTAATCTCGGGTGTGCCCATTTATTTCTGTATAAATATTTGAGTTAAAATTTAGTGTGGTACCAAACCAAACACTTTGTTCAAATAAACTGCATCGGTCAACGTGGTTGCCTTTATCAACAAGAAATGTCATCTTCTCCAAAACAGAAATGGTTTGTTTGACAAGATCTGTGCTCCATGAAACTGTATATGCCTGTGTTAGTTCTGTATTACTCTCATAATCTTTTTTTATAGAGAATGTGTTCCATTATTTTGCTTGGGAAGAGAAGCAATGCAGCAGTTCCTGGGTAGATTCTCTCCTTCTTTTTCAGTCTTGGAAAAGTAAAAATGCATCAAAGCCAGGGGAAATGCCAATGTGTTTACTGCGAAAAGTATTAATGTCAGTAATTCCCCGGCCCTTAGGACCCATTGGGATAAGTTATTTGGTCCTTCTGATTTGAGATCATTTCACTTCAGTAGATGCTGGCTTCAATCCTCCTTTACAGAAGATGATTAGCTTTCCAGTGCACGTGTGCTATGAGTTGAATTAGTTCTGCTTTCTTCTGGAGGCAAAAACATCTATTTAATGTATGCAGATCCTTTGTTTGAGCTCCTTTTTTTCCTAACATATTTATATACAGTGATTTATTAATGCTACTACTGGCTAAAATTCCATTAATTTATTTTCTGTCACTTTTATCAGTTGGCTCCAATTTCAATCTGTAACTCACATGCTGCCATTAACTTTCCATTTATATTCAGATGTAAATGTTTCACTTCTGTTCTTATGTTCAGATCTCCATCTACCCATGATGTTTTTGTGACCAGAATAACTGTTTTCCCCTTCTCTCTCTGGATTGTCAGTCTGGGTGCATCCAGTAGTATGCCCTCAAGCAATTTCCAGCTTTTGCTAATATTTCCCACTTCAAATGATGTACATTGCAATGGCAATGAATCAGGAACTGACAGGCAGAATTAAAACCAGCGTTCAACCCTCCTCAAATTTGTAGAAGTAGTAATGGAATAAACAATGTCAGAATAATTTAATACGGAGAGAAGTAATTGAATTAAAGCTCTTCTGTGTACATAATGTCAAAATGCATAAAAGAAAGTAAGAAAGCCATATGTGGAAAGGAAATACAGATTTTCAACAAAATCAGTTTCAGAACATGTAATTTTCCTACAAATTTGCCTGTTTTGTAAATGCAGACAGTTATTCAGTTTCTTGCATAAGACACAGCTGATGGCTAGATGCTCACTCCATGACTTAACTAAAGCACAAGTCTAGTTTGTGTTGCTGCGTCTGGTTTTTAGCGCCCAAAAAGTCTGGGAAGAACTTTCTCTTAGAACGCAGTGAGCTACCCCTGGAACTGTCTTCCCCATATTACATGTTATGGCATTTTATTCTACTCTAGTTTGAATCCAAATTTCAGCCTAAGAGAAAGGACCTGAGAGATGCCCCCAGTTCTTGAAGGATGTCCATCCACATCTCTCACCACACCGGTTGTTTGAAGTGCACATCACAGTCATGTGTAGAATGTTTATGTGGGAATGTCACCTTTCCCTTGTGGATCACCCCAGCATGGCTCTAGCATTTTAGACTGGGCTGTGGGAAAACCCCTACAAAGGACATTTGGAAGTCTTCCACCAGCTTTCCACCAGTATGCAATTAATAGATCGTCTTCTAGTCCCTCTGAAACTCTGTGTATTTTTCCTCACCTGTGCTCTCTTTGGTTTGGCCCAGGGCATATCTTCACATAGGCAAAGGCCACAGAAAAGAGAGCAAATAAGAAGAATGGAGATAGACATGGCTAGAACTGAGAATTTGTGTAGATTATTATAGACCAGAATCTAGCCTGGTGCTCGAGTAGGGCAGGATTCTGGGATGCAGCTTGGGTAGAAGAGAAACCATCCAGCAGTCATGGGGAAACACAGAAATCGGGGATTGGATCTGATAATGCAGTGCTCAAAGAGGGACTGAAATGTCACAGGGGTTTTTGGAAGACAATTCATCAATATCACTTGCACAAAACCTTTGGCAAATCCAATTTTTGTCAGATGTGTTCATGGTTAGAGATGTATTAAGAACACCATCCTTTTGTTTTTCCTTTGTGATTTGTAATTTTGGTGATCTCTCTGACTTTTTTCCCCACTGATTCATTTTAATACTACTGCGATTAAACTGGTCTTGTTTATTTTAACATAGGCTGATACCTTCTTGTAGCTCTCTATGCCAATCTTTCTATAACCTATTTATTTTTGACAGATAGCTTTTAAGAATAATCCTTTCTACTGCACTATACTTTTTATTACAGAAAAAAAAAGTAGAAAAAAGTATATTGAGGAGATTTAATGATTTTATTATCTTGCCTTCCTATTTTCTTTAAGCAATAAGCTACAGTGAATTTAGCTCCACAATTAAAATATTTTACTACGCACAAGAGATATGCCATAAGTATTGTTAGAATACACACGATCCACGTATTATTTTCTGGTAAAGTGTTGGGCATTAAGAAACATAGTAAAGTGGGTTATTTAATGAACACACCGAGTGTGTGGGTGGAAAATAGAAACACTTGCCTCCAGGATCCTACCCAGAAAAATTTCTCAGGACCTTGTGAAGAAGTCACAGGCGGAAAAAAAACCAAAACACAGACCTCTGTTTTTAGGGAAGTTTTGTCTAATACCAGTCCAGAAATGCATACTGTAGAATGTTAAAAGACAGCACTGATTTTGCTAATGGCAGCACTTTGTATTCAGGTTTTCCTAATACTTTAAGCACCAGAGACTACATTAAATACTACGTGCAGCTTGTGGCTATAAGCCAAAAGGAAGCCCACATGACATTTAGTGCCCTTGTCTGCAAGCTGATAAGAGAGTCTGGATTCTCTAAACTCTTTAAGTGCTCAATGTCAGGCTGGAATTCGGTAACTGCAGCCCGCACAACTGGCGTTATTTAAAAATGCATACTTAGCTCTAAGAGGTTTCCAAGCACTCTAATGCTGGGGTATTTGAACAGAGTAATAGGGTGCTTTTAAAAAAGCTTTTTATTTTGCAACTTTATGTTCTTCATCTTGTTCAAATGTTATTTACTTTAGAATTCATCTGATAGACCCATGAAGTTAAACATGCTGTTCAATAAAATGGGACAGGGCTCTGACAAGCCTCAGGAAACTTCAAAAATGTTTGAAGTGTTTAGATTTTACTATATCACAAAGTAAATTTTGCAGTTTGAGTGCGTGCCCGAAGACCAAATAAAAATGCTCGGCAGAATTATTCCCACCCAGCCATTTGACCTCTCCAGTCTGCAGTGTTGTGATAATGGGCTGGACTTTGCTTGTGCCTCGGTGTTGCATAGTTGTGATAGCTCTGTATGAAATTGTGTTGGAGTTTCTCTGCAGAATAATCCCAAATATCACTGTAGCAGTGTCCATCCCTTATGGAAACAAATTTGCTCATTGTTTGCTCTCCTTACAGACAAACAAATGTGGCTCCTAACTCACTCCAGGCACTGTTATATTTTGCTTGTAAGGATATCACGCTCATTTATCTCCCTCCTCTTCGTAGCCTTCCACACTCTTCCTGTGCAGAGCAGCTGCTCAGTAGGACTGCACATAGAATTTCATGAAGTCCATAACTCCTTTTGTTAATGAGCATTTAAGTGAAACATGCTGTGCTTGTGGCGTGGACTGAGTATCTTCCATCATCTTTGGTTGTATTAATGGAAAATTGGATTTCCAAGAAAAGAAATGTTTTGAGTCTGATCTCTATGGGAAGAAAATCACAACTATAAGGAAAAATTTGCTAAAAAAAATGTAAACAAAGCTAAAAAATGAAAACAAAGAACCCTCTGAGATGGAAAATAGTTTATTCCTAAATGGTAGAAGGGAGCTGCAATGGATATATTCTGTAGCTCTCTCTCCATACAACTGAGTGCATCAAGTGGTGTAGGAGCGGGTGTATGAAAGCTTTGGATGTCAGCTTTGGGTAAGAGCTCATTCAGGTCCAGTGGTGTACTGAGAGCACCACTTATAAATAAAATAAATTGCAAATATCCCTTCAGCACTCTCGAAATGCCAATGATCGGAAATTGCAGGCTTTGAAGCAGACAATGCTGTAAGAGGACAAAGAAAACATTGGTGGTGTTGCAAGGGGGAACAAATAGAGCAACTGAAGCAAAGGACACTGAGAAGTTTTTCCCTAAATGAGGAACAATGAATTAGTGGTACAGGAGCATTATTTGAAAGGGGATAGTAATTATACGGAACAAAGCATTCAATGAATACTATCGTTTTCCATTTAGGAAAGAGCAAGATAATGGGCAACTACCACGTGAGGATGATAAATGACTGCGCTCTACTAAGGACTAAGTAGGCTGCTGGAAAACAGCTGTTAGAAATAAATATTTTGAAGAGCTGGCAGGTGAAATTCTTCATTTGTTGGTGCTTATTTCTTTTGTCTTGAAATGCTATCTTAATTTCAATAGTGCCAGAGAACATTAATTGGATTATATTTTTCAGAGGGCTTGGACAGTGGCTAATCTGAATTTCTTAGCATGGAAAACCTGATGTGGGATTCAATTACAAAATATCGCAGGTGTTAGTCTGTTTTATTAAGGTAAAAATTTTAATTTTCCAGCTATAAGCAAAAGCATACAGCAAAAGCAAAGTAGGGGGTGGCCAGAGGGCAGTGTTTTTGAAAAACACTTAGGGGTTTGTGGCTGAAAACAACTCAGTTCAGCAGGGCTGTAGAGCAACGGGAACTAGCATGAATTTACATTAAATGAATAAAGCAAAAACAAGTTATATGAATAAAGCATGTACAGCGAGAAGATAGGAAAGAGGGCTGAAAATCTGTATATAGATCATCATATATATAGATCATCATATATATAGATCTATATTATAGATCATGCCACTCCTGCAAAGCCCTTTACAGGTCTGGTCACTTTCTGGGGTGCAGAAAAGAGTCCAAGAAAGGTTTTAGAGTCTGAGATAATGCCTTAAAGTGAGAAACTTTAAACTGCTCACCCTGATCAGTTAGTCTGTATAAAGACAGATTTGATGATTTTGTAGAATTGTTTTCATGGGATACTGAAGTGCTCTTTCACAAAAAAGAAAAACATAAAAAGAAACACATTTATACCAGGGAGGGTGATCATCTTGTAGAACAAACATCCAAGGCAGATAATGCATTCCTATCCCCTGATGTATTCATCATGTCTGAAAGAGGAGTAGCAAGTGTCAATCTGGGAACAACCTTCCTTGCTTCTCTAGACACAGCAATTGAATAGTTAATTGAATTAAAAATGGGGTTGACTCCTGTGGAGCCAAGGACTGGATATTACAGAGGAAGAGATGATAATGTGGTTATCATACAGGAAAAAGAGAGAGCAGGAGTGAGGTTTGCAGAGGAAATCCTGCTGATGTAAATAACTAGCTAAATCCATGATGTTCAACATCCAGTGGAGGTTCACCAGTCTAAAATATTTTACAGCTTTTTTTAGGGCTTAGCAGATGTTAGATGAGAAAAGCATTCCTCTTGGTAAGATGTCTCCCACTGCCAGTGTGACTGCACTCCAGTGAGCAGCAGTCATTCCCTTTCTCATGAGTGCCTTCCAGCAGGTTGAGCACAGGTGTTGGCAGTGCTGCTTTTGGGGGGCTTTTGTGTGGGCAGGCCTTTAGCTTGCTGCTCAGGCAGATTCCAGTCATTTCACACATCTGACAGAAGCCTGTAGTCTGTTTCTGATCTGGTGAGGAGTTTTTTTTCTAAGTACATCAGTTGTTCTAATAAAACAGAACTTGTAATAAAACTGTACTTTGTTTCTATCACTTTAAAGTGTATGTTGTGTGAGTATGTGTACTGCAAACAGAAACCAAAAATCTGACTAAACCCGCCAGGTTTTTCCTCCTTTTGTAATTCTATTGTTGTTGTTGTTATTGTTGTTGTTGTTGTTGTTATTATTATTATTATTATTATTATTATTATTTTGCCACAAACTGCAAAGTAACTCAATTTTTGAAGAATTCTGTCCAATTTTCCTGAAAAAGTCTGCAGACCTGAAGCATACATCTGGATTGAGTTGAGACCTTGGAATGAGATTGCAAACCACAATAATTTCTTGCGGTTTCTGGTAGCACTGGTATTAATATCACCTCTGTGTCCTGGCGCAGGAGGATCTGCAGCAGCACTTCAGACTGCAAGCAGACCACCAGCTGCACAGCAGCCTGTGCTCTAAGCACAACTGGAAGTGAATTGTCCCAGAGGAAACCACTACTGATTCAGCTCTAGAGAGAGCTCCTTTAGTTGTATTAAACACTATGCACTGAATAGATGGTTCCAAAATAAGATCTAGAATAACACGGAAAATCCAGCATCCTTAACCAGCTGCTCAAAAAAAAAAGAAAAGAAAAAAGAAAAAAAAAAAATCCTGTCAGTGTAATTTTTCTTTGGTTCTGTAGCTTCAGATATCTTGTTTCCTAGTTTATTTTCTTGCTTCCAGGCATAGAGTGTCAGCCTTATATGGAGAGCACTTCTATTTCTGTCTGTGCGAGAACTGCACAGGCTCAATCTACGTGGCTGATCCAACAAATCTAGAATTTCTTCATCACTGCAAGAAAAAGAAAGCAGTGTTTTCATTAAAGAGAAACAAATTCCAATTAAAAAATCCAGTAAAAAAAAAAAAAGGCATAAATAAATACAAAATTTGAAATGGAGAGAACATATTTGTGTACTCTCTTGTGTTCATGTGCTGTGGTAAGTTCCAATTATCTCCAGAGGGGTAATTAAATTACTGAGTTTGTAGCATTCATTGAAGACATTCAATGAAAACTGAACTCTACTTTGAAAAATGGAATTCCTAAACTAGCATCTGACAAAAAGAGGTAGAATGCACTACTGAGGCACAGTTGAACGAAGCTTTTTGACTACGCTCATCTAACTGGAACCACTGCACAGAATTTTGCTGTGGGATGAGATAATTCAGCCTTTGGTGGATCCCTTGCTATAGCAGGAACCTCATGAAGCAGGAACCTGATGAACCAGACCCTATATTTTGGATGGTTATATTTAGTTGTGATAGATAATACCAATGGTTAGGTGTGATGGATGATATCACGCACATTCACAAGTTTGGACCAAATGTGCTCTACTCTGATTTCTTAGTTTCCTCCTTTCTAGGTCACTAATACTCCAGAGATGAGCTACAGATCTTTGAAATATAAAGTAACTAATGGTACTACAAGTAAACTACACGATTTTTTTTTTTTTTTTTCATTAGATATAATGATAAATTCTCACAGTAACGTTCAAAACGTCATAAAACTGAAAATTCTGCAGTAATTTCCACATTTCATATAGTGGAGGGACAACTCACATGAATATGTAACAAATTCAGTCTTCATTGAGTACCTGAAGGTATGGATCTGTGTAACACCTGCTAAAGTCACATGCCCAAGTATTTGTATGAACTGGGCAGATCTAAGTGCAATTTTTCATTTCATAATTGTTAAGCCTCTATTCACATATCAGAAGTATTTTCTTCTCCTTAGGTGGGAGTTTTAGAAAAGAAGACAAATTGTCTTTGTCTGCGACACTATTCTGGCTAAATAACAGCTCAGAAAAAAATCAGAAGAAAAGAAGTTTGAGATGAAAATATTTTCAGGTCAACCTTCATTAGTCACTTCTGCCCAACTGTTTTTCAGTTGTGTATCTGAGTCATAGCATTATTTCTTTATCCTTTCACTGTACAAATGCATGATCTATCCTGTACCTATGCTGCAAGGAGGTCTTAGATTAGAAGATGTGTGTTAGGTACTCACAAGCAAGCCAAGACCAAGCACCTTCTCATCTGGCAGGAAAAGGTGTGAGGAGCTCCGTTGAGCTTCTGAATGTGCAGGAAGCATGCAGAGGGATAACGGCAATGGTGTAGTGGCTAGAATTCATCACTTCAGAAGGCTGCACTGGTTTATTTTTAAAATGCAGACAAGACATTTTAGGGCAGACAAAAAGGTGTAATAATGACGTTTGTGATGGAGACCTCCTACGTTCATAATTGCATTAGTACTGGGTAATGGCTTGCCAAAGAAGAACTGAACATTCCTTATTATTTTCTTCCATCTTCTGTAGCAAATTTGGAAATTAAATAACTCTGACCTTTTTCCCTGATCACAAAAGGGTTGTTTTTTAAAGATGCACAAAAGAGACATGGAAAACCTCTGAGCTGACAGACATCCCCTATTTTTTTAAAAATAGAAGTCTCCAGAGGAAAATCTCTCACTTTCCCTAGATGTGTCAGATTATTTTCTCTATTAGTTTCTAATATCTTCCCCGATTTACCAGTACTGCTTCACAAATTAATTACGTGAGAAAAATTCTACATGGATTTTCCATGTACAAAAATACTATTTTTGATCTACTTTCTCCATGGCCAGAGGCTCCAGCTTTTTTCTTTTCTATTTTTGTTTTTAATTCTAGAATCCCATCTAAAAATGGGCCCCACAAAACCTTATTTGTGAAGGTGAGAAGTGCACTGAGAAAACATTCTGAGCAGTAGTAAAACATGAGTCTAATTGTGCCCTGCCATTTTGCAGCGCTCCCTGCTCCCTGGTGTGCCCCTATCCCTGAACTGGCAGAGCCTGTCCATCCACGGGCAGGGTGGCCTCACTGCCTCATAGCAGCCTCTGCTCCATCTGGAGTGACCTCAAGAATTGATCAATAGAAATATAGCTCTGGCTCATCTTATTTCTCACTTAGCAATGGCCTTTTGGTCTAAAAGAAGAGCAAGACATGGCCATAGCACAAGGAGTCAGGACAACTGACTTCATTTCTAGCATTGACCCACTCTGATCCAGAACAGGTATTGGATTTTTGCTTTAGTACTCCTTCACTTGCAAAATAGTGATGATTCTTCCATATGTGGATGAAATTCAAGAGTGTGCAGACATGCTTTTCTGTGGAGGAGACACTCCTGGCCCTGATGGAAAACTGGAAGATGCCTTTGGCGGGAGCTTACTGTGAAGGTAGGTGTTTCTACAGGAAACACGGCAGTGTGGGACCTCTCACAAGACCATTGTCTGGGCAAGAACCCTGCTTGCTGACTGCCAAAACTGATTCTCCAAATTCTTACATTAAGTATGACATTTACCTCCCCTGCAAGTGTATGCTTTATTATACTGGTAGGATGGGGTGGCATGCAAAGCAAATAAAGCAGGAGAGAATGAAGACTGCTGAGATTTTGGGCTGGCTTTATGGCTGCACCACTGGCAGCGGAATTGCATTTCTACATAGCCACTACATAGCTAGAAGCATTTGGGACTGTTTCCAAGTATGCAGTAGCTGGAAACAAGGAGTAAAACTGGCTTTTTAGAAGCCAGAAGTCATTGATTTCAGTCAAGGAATTTAAT